CGCCGCAGAGGAGGGGGGGGAAGGTGACGTTGCTCTGGGCCCCGCGTTTCATTGTCCTCGGAACCTGGGACCTGCCGTACGCGCTGAGCTCCAGGTGGGGGCCGGGATGCTGCTACTCCCCCTCCCTCGGCTCGAAGCAGCGGTCATTAGGGCAAGTGCCTCGCGCTCCCAGCTGCCTGGCCGGAGCAATTGCACAGTCTGGCCTGGGCATCCCGGTTGGTGGGCGGGGTGGCTGTTTGGTCCTGTTCCCCAAACCCTGCCCTTTCTGTGGTTGCCCCACCCCCTTCGTCCCATGGCACTGCGTCCATAGTGCGAGAGGGAACAGCAAGGCTGTGGTGTCCTTACATCTGCATGTGGCAGCAGTGAAAGGCATATGGTACGGCTGCAATATGAGGGGAGACTAATAAGACGGGGACTGTTCAGCTTGGGAAGCCTATGGACTAAGATGGGATATGATAGAGGACTATCTAGGGGAAAAAAGTAAATTAGGAAAAGTTATTTCTTTCTTCCCATAACGCAAGAGGAGATCATCAGATTAAATTAATAGGTTGCAGGTTTAAAACAAACAAAAGGAACTTTTTCTTCACATAATGCACAGTGAACCTGTGGAACACTCTGCTAAAGAATGTTGTGACAGCCAAGACTTTTAACTGTGTTCAAAAACCAACTAAATTGCTGGAGGGTAGATCCATCAATGGCTATTAGCCAGGCTGGACAGGGATGGCATCCCTGACAGAGGGATGTTTTGTAAGGGCTGGGAAGGGGCAACAGGGGGTGGATCACTTGATAATTACTTGTTTTGTTCATTCCCTCTGGGGCATCTGTCATTGGCACCTGTCAGAAGATAGGATATTGAGGTAGATGGACGTTTGAGCTAACCCAGTATGGCTGTTATGTTTCACTCTTTCTGGACAACTGCATCTGACATGCTTGACACAATTACCCCTTCATATACTGTTGTCTCACAGGGAACCAGAAATCTCTGAGCTCATCTTTCTACAATTATTGGAGGAGTTGACGTTGCACTAGACAAACTTTTATCTTCTGGGGTTGCAGGCATCTTCTATCTTTCCTCATTGCTCTAGCTGAGTGGAGAAAGGTGGTGCCTATTTTATTTTTTGGCTAATACAAAATTTAAGCACCTACATTTTAACAGTGGAATGTGTTTGCAGGTGAATGTAAACTACTCTGTAGGCACCTATAACCTTCAGTATAAACTGTTGAAGTATTCTTTGCACTTGGTACTCTAATCGAATTATCCGTAACTTAATTTTAAAATGTATTTATAATGTTTAAGACTATAAATATTCAATGAATGTTTGGAGTCTTAGCTTCTACATTGTTTTTAATTTCTTCTTAAAATGGGAGTAAAAGCCCATTCTCATTTGTAGTCTTAAATCGAGTTACCCAGATTGCTCAAAATCAATTTTTATAAACTGAACATTATTGTTTTTAGAGCATTCCTGAGGACTGTTTCTATGTGAAATGTAATGGAAGACTGGTTAACACTGAAGACTTGCTACAAGATGGAGTTGTTTATAGTCTGGAGCCAAGACTTTGTGGTGGAAAAGGAGGTTAGTTTCTGATGCTGCTCTTGAACTATATGGGGTGGGGGAATTGTTACATTGAAATGTTACCCCTTTATTACAAAAGACTCATAAGTGATGTAAGAACCTACATTTTGAAAATTAATAGGAGTTAGGTTCTTCATTCAGATGATTTTGAAGGATTTACCCTCACCCATGACCTATGAAGGTTATTAGCTTATTTTATTCTACAATAAACTTGTGAATCAGAAAAATCCAGTGGGGCTTTGCAAAATTCTGTTCACCTATGCAATAGTTTGTTCTGACAGTTGAGTGAAAAGATTTTAAGATTCCATAGCCATACACTTAATCATAAAAATAGTTCTAGCTAGAGATGTTAAATTGTGAGTAATTGACTAATCGAATAGTTGATAGAGTGCCTCCGCATTTGAAGTGTAGCAGCAGCCGTAGGGTGATTGCTTCACTTCAGAGATGAAAGCACAGCGTGAAGCCTGGGATCAACTGGGGACTCCCCTGCTGACCCCGGAATCCATGCAGCGCTGCCGCCTTGAAACACCACACAGAGCCCAGGATCAGCAAGGGAGTCCCCAGCTGATCCTGGGCTCCATGTGGCGCCACCATTTGGAAATGCCGCATGCATGCAGCCTGGGGACACCCCAGCATTTCACAGCAGCAGCGCCGCATAGAACTCGTGGTCTGGCCCCAGGCTCCATGCAGCATTGCCACTTTGAAATACCCCCTCTTCTTCCCTCCCACCCCTTGCTGCCTCTTTCTGATAGAGGTAGTAAGGGGGAGAAGCGACTAGTCAACTAGCCTGTCAACTATTCGATAACCATTTGCTTATTGGATAGTCAACTAGTCCTTCATATCTCTACTTCTAGCATTTTATGATCATGAAAATGTGAAATGAGAGTAACTGCTGTAGTGTTGGTTTCCTGATTCTACAGCTCACCTTTGGCCTCAGTTATTCTGAGAGAATGCAAGAAGCTGAATTTTCTGTATACAGTACTTTTTCTCACCAATGGTGGGACTAACAAGATTTTTTTCTCTAGTATGTTCTCTTATTGACAGGGGTCGACAAATTATGGAAAACCCTACTTGCCAGACAAAAAAGGGACTTGCCACCCTCCCCCACAAAAAGTGTTGGTTTTTTTTAATGGCATAAATTCCTAATAAGAATAAGAACAGTAATTACTAATAAGTTATTAATAAATATCACCCAAGTTATTAATAAATATCTTATAAACCTCTACCTTTTGTCTCTGCTGCCATGTCTCCTCCCCTTGCTCCATCAGCTCCACTGGTGCCTGCTTCCCCCCCAACTCCTTACCCTCCTCTGCTGTCCTGACTCTTGCCCTTCTCACTGCCCTCAGCCTTCCTGAGACCAGTCCCCCTCCACCAGCCCTTCTCTCCCCCCTTGTGCCCACTCCTTCAGTAGCCCCACTCTGATCATGTGAGCTACCCCTCCTCATCCCCTCTCCTAAAATCTTCCTCTACACATCTGTCCTGCCTCTCTCCTCTGGTGCTGGTCCCTCCTTTGCAGGTGTCTGCCCTTATGCTTCACCCACAGAATCCCTTGGCACCTGCACCCTCCTGATGCTTCTCCCTTCCCTCACTGTCTCTGCCTCCTTTGCCCTCTTTTTCCCTGATACTCACCACCCTCTGCCCCCATTCCCCTCATGCCCCTGGGCCCTCACAGATGCCTTGCTCCGTCCCCGCCTTCCTCATGCCCACCCCTCCTTTCAAGCCTTCTCCCAGCACCACCTCCTCTCCCCTCTAGCTCCCAATGCCCTTACCCTCTCCTCTCCCAGCATCACCCTGTCCCCCTTCCCACTGACACCTCCCCTCCTGCCCTTTGGTGACTTCTCCTTTCTTCTTCTTCTTCTCCTGACCTCCTCCCCATCTCTCCCCTCAGCACAAGCCCCTTCCCCATATTTTTTCCCTCTCCTCCCCCCAGCCCAGCCCCTTCCCCTCCCCCAGGGCCAGCTCTAGGTTTTTTGCTGCCCCAAGCAAAACATTTTTTGGTCCCCACTCCTTTTCTTTGTTGTCTTTTACACGTTTGCATTTTGCAATGGGTTTTTTTTTTTTGTTTGTTTTTGTCCTGGCATTTTAGCCCTATAAATGGCAAATAGCATTTTCATTCGTTTTTTTTTCCATAAAGGCAAAGGCGCTTCAAGTGAACTTCCCGCTTTCACTCCCTGCTGAGTCACAGCAGCTTTTTCCCTGCTCTGTCCAAGCCCCTCCCTATGGACAAGCACCCTTCACTCCTGACCCACAGAGGGAGCAGGGTGCAGGGACTGCACAGAGCCAGAGGGGTGCAGGGAACAGTGGGGGAGGGTAAGGGGGTGGCACGGGGAACAGGAGGCACAGAGCCGGGGGGAGCAGGGATCGGGGGGAGCAGGGTGCCATGGAGGCACAAGGAATGGGATGCGGGGAATGGGAGGGTCAGAAGGATCGGGGTCTAGGGGCAGTGCAGGGAACGGGCAGCACAGAGCTGGGGGGGGGCAGGGATTGGGGGGAGCAGGCTGCGGGGTAGGTACAGAAAGTGGGACACGGGGAACGGGAGGGGCAGAGCGATCAGGGTCTAGGGGCAGTGCAGGGAACGGGCAGCACAGAGCTGGGGGGGGCAGGGATCGGGGAGCAAGGTGCGGGATGCAAGGGGAGCACAGAGCCAGAGGGTTGCAGAAAAGAGGGTGAGCAGGGGGTCCGAGGAGCAAGGGCAGTGTGGGGAACGGGCAGCACGGAGACAAAGGCTTCCGCCAGCCCGTCACAACGGCCCACCAGGCCAGTCCGCCCCTGCACTTGCCAGCTGGTAAAATCTACTCACCGCGGGCGAGTGTATTTGTCGAGCCCTGCTCATTGATATAATCTTTATTATTGAGATGTGGGAAGGAAGGGAAATAGTTATTTTTAAAACCTGTAATGCTCTTAATCCTGTAGCTCTCCCTATTGCATCTTGTAACTGACTTCTGGTAACTTTCAGGTTTTGGATCTATGCTCCGAGCTCTTGGTGCTCAAATTGAAAAGACAACAAATCGAGAGGCATGCCGAGATCTTAGCGGAAGGAGACTACGAGATGTTAACCACGAAAAAGCGTGAGACATTTATTTTATCAGAAATATAATTATAAAATACAATATTTCATTATTAAAAGATGTCAGACAAGAGGTTATTATAGTCAGTCAGTCAGAATAATGAAACTTTATAGATATTAAAAGGAACTTTTAGTTCTTTGAAACCTTTGCCTACAATATGGATACCAAAAGTAGACAGCTGTTGCAAATTAAAGGTGATTATATAATAACATGTTTGTGATGAGCTTGTCTGCACCTGTTGTAGGTGTTTTTCAGGGAACAGACAAAAGTTCTCTTGCAATAGAAAAATTATAGGGTCCTCAGAGCACGCTACCCGAGAGCTGCAGACCAGTGATATTCACTCATCTTTAGAGCCCATTATTAGTCTGTCTTGCATAAATAAACATTCCTCCCTCCTGTAGTGAAATTTCCATGAGTTGCTATCAGATGAATGTTTGTTTGTTTAATGTCTAACTCACTTATTTCCTCTCCTCTTTCTTTTTATTTCCCCATTTCTGGATGAAAGTATTCATTAACTAAAAAACAACAATCATTGTTAGATTGACATAACTGAATAGTTCCTATTTCCTCAACCTTTTCTTTGCAGAATGGCTGAATGGGTGAAGCAGCAAGCAGAGCGAGAAGCAGAAAAAGAACAAAGACGTCTGGAAAGGCTGCAGCGTAAACTTGCAGAACCAAAGCACTTTTTCACTAATCCAGACTACCAGCGACAGTGTCATGAGATGGCTGAACGGCTAGAGGATTCAGTCCTTAAAGGTACTTCTGAACACCTACAACGTTTCTTAAAAGAACCATTATCAGTCAAGATAGGATTGTTTTCAGTCATAGCTTATTAAAATATTGCCATTTGAATTAACTCTGTGAGAATTTGTTACTGACCTTAAATATTGGGATGTACATCTCACTATTTTATCTGGGTGAAATAGACCAATTTTGACTTCTAATAAAGACTGGTGGAATTAGGTTTTCCTCCTTTAAATAAAATTAATTGAAATTGCGCATTAATCTTGTGACACAGATATAAATGATAGATATCATTTTACACAAAGATAATCTACAGGTAGGCTACGTGAGTCCTAGGTTAGCAGCAGTGCTATCAAGAAGTCTCTGAAGATAGTAACAGGCTCTTAGCAGTAAGAATTGTATGTAAACTTTTTTTGCAGTAAAAAGATAGATTAACAAATGTTATGGAGAGTTAAGAAATTTAATAAAAATCTGGATTATATGGGTGTCTTTGCAGTTACTTTGCTTAGCCACTGATTGTTACCCTGTT